AGACGACATTTCTACCAGGCCAAAACGATCCAAGTCAATTTTGTCAATCTGGCCTAGGTCGGACCCAAAACCGACACCGGCAGGACCGAAAATTGAACCCTACCCAGGTACCTGAACAAGGTACTGTTATCACTTTTGGAGAGGCGCATTTTGCTTTTTTAACGTCATTTTGATACCTTTTTGTTGTCTTTAATCCCATGATCTACTGTTATGAACTCCATGTCTTTCGGCCACTTGTCCTCTGAAACTGAATGAAAACATCACTTAGCCTATCTCAAACATCACGCGGACCCATGGTTGAAGAGCGGACCAGGCAAGTTGCGGGCAGACCGAGTGGCAACATCCATCTCAGATACTTCATCATCATTTTCTTCTAACCGGGCCCCCTTCTGGAAGTTCTGCCGTCTAGCCGCCCTTTCCGGGATAATGCTGCGACCCGCAGGAGCTAAGACCCGACGTAGAAAATCACTCGAATCACTAGCGACCAAGTATCTCCCTACAATAGTATTAAAGTCGCCCTGCACATGTATTGAACACTACTACTATCTCAGCTGTGCTGGACGACGACTAGCTTTGCTGTTGCTTTGCCAGACGGAAAATCGACGAAGACTGCGGGGTGCAGCCACCCCAGCCAATTAGACAGCCAAAAGTAGCCACGCATTGACCAATGGGGTCTGCAACGGGCGCCGATCTCTTGAGTAATCAGGACCCACTTAACATTCTGCTCGACGTGGACTAGCTGTATGCAATGGTATTACTGTTACCATACAATAGTGGGCAATTGCAAACATCATCATCATTCAATATCCACTATCGCCCATTTCCCCCCAATCTTGATAACGATAACTAACTGGGTCGGGTTCAACTAGAATCTTGGAAGAATGGAATGGAAGGCCACGTTCCCCCCTCTACCCCCTCCTCTTTTGCCCCTTAGTACGTAGTAGATTGTTGGGTTTTTATGTAACACTGTTCGCAATGCGCATAAATTTGAATTAAGATGGAGAACCATGAGTGATGATTTTACTATGTGTAAGTAAGTAATAAGGAAAAAAAAGAAACTTTACTTACAGTAGGTTCTTCCCCCCCTCACCTGCTGCTGCTGCTGCTTATCAGCCCATTTCCCGCTGCACAGTTCATCCACCTACATTAAGCAATATAACCAACTTATTATTAATAGCCGCCAGCACTTCAACGTGTGGCAGAAAACCTGCTAAACTTGCACCAAGTACCTCCCGTAAGCAACAACAATGATTATTAGCAGTCGTAGTTAAATCGAGTTGCTGGCTGGCTGGCTGGCCAGCCCCGTAGTAAGAGGGTGTTTCTCGATACATCCAACCGGCTGAGTTTCCAGTAGTTGCAGCGGCGGCAGCCAGCTGTCCCTTTACCGCTTGTTTAGAGCCAATTACAACATGCATGCATCATGTATGAATGCCAAAGGCATCGCTACTAGTCCACCCATCCATCATTCACAATTCATGCCTGAGTGTTCTTGTCCCTCTTTCGCAAGCCAACGAGGTAATGGAACATGAGACTAATGTACCTGTCTCGAAGAAGTGGTGTGGTGCTTTGCATTCATTCTAGATCATCATTGTCTGTTGCTCTGCGCTCGGGGACCTGGGTGCTTTTTGTGGGTTGATCTTTTGTCATTGTAATTATGAATGTTTTGTGGAGGGGTACCGGTTGAAGGTGTGGTGCAATTTCTGATTCTTATTATTGAAAGGTAGCCGAATTCCGCACTTTTGATATACGGAATATACGGAGGAATATTCAAGGCAAAACAAACCAGCAATAGTAGCGCCAAATTCACGGCTAGCCGAAACTACTTGCCTATCTTGCCTTGGATAGAGTAGGGGGTTGTACACAGTATGGTAGTAGTGCCCAGCCCAGTCCGTTCGGGATGATGCCGAAAATGTCACGGACCTCCTGGGATTATTGATGCGGTGGCTTTTTTTGTCTTTCCACTTTGATCTATTTTAGTCGATCCGGTCGGCGATTAGTACTATCACGTGTGCCATTATATGTTCCCGATTACCTTCCTACGGAGTCAGTCTGGATGGGTTATGTCTGTGAAAAGAGGTAGTATGTATACAGGATGGGCATCATGGATACTGTAAATAGCCCATCTCTGCAAATTGGTAAAGGTGGTACGGCAATCTCGGAGATTTAGCCGCTGCGTTGTTGGTCTAATTGACGCTCGAGACCCCTAAGTTGTGCTGTTCATTGAACTTATCATGCCTTGATCTTCTGGTGGATATCTGGTCTGCTGCAACTTGATGCATCCGCCCAAGGCTGGAGGTCTAGGCTGAGCCGCGGATACCGAGGCTCTGTCGCATATCCGTGCGCCTGGATACCCATGCTAAAGGATCAGGATTCTGTGTCTGCGGTTTCCTGGGAACAATTGATGCTTGCAGATAAGGGTCCTGTTGAGGATGATTGCAAAAGTAGACTAGAACTTGAAACTGAGGAATTGAGTTAACCGTGTTATGTTCAGCGGCTATACTTCGTACTGACTGTAAGTATGACTGACAGCTGGCTTAGTAATTTGACAGGATAAACGGTAGGAATGACTTAGAGAAATCATTTATGCTTAGTGATGTATACTCTAAGACAGACCAATTCGTGTGGTAGAGAGTCACCAACGTAAGGAATCGATCAACGTGCCCATTGCAGTCTACTGTGAGCAGCAAGGAAGACCCCGAGAATGAACAAAACAGCGAGGCAGCACCTTTTCCTCCCCATGAGCGAACTAGTCCATATCGGGTAAGGCATAGCCGCCAGTGCCGGGCTTGGCCAATCCGAGTGGTGGGATTGACCTCATCCGGTAAGGTGGCCCATCAAGGCCAGCCATCCGGGTCCATCCATGTCATCCTCCCTTACTCCCGACCTCCTGAGAGAGGAGTGCAGGCCATCCGGCAGCCAACTCGTGTTTCCTGCGTCTAGATGCACGCTCGATGAATCATACCTATGAGTGCAGTGCATTCGATGAATCATGGACCAGCTGATCTAGCCGACACAGTGACGGCCATTATCAAGATGATGTGGGAAGATGTCACCGTGCAGAGGGCACGGTTCAGAAAGTTGTCCTCCCTTCCTTTAGCGGCAGGAATTTGGCTTGTGAGATTTGCTTATTCTCCCCTTTCTTACATTATGGCCCGCTTTGCATGCCACGACTTTCGGAAAAAGAAGGCCCCTCATTCTTTATCAGAGGCTCGGGTGCGATCTGCGTTCTTGCCTGCATGCCTGTGATCTAACAGATTGCCTTTACTTACATACTGTACAAGTCTGTAAAAATGTATGCTAGTGGTGGAACAGAGGGGGTGATACGTAGGGATGCTGCATCGGTTCGCCATATGGTTATGTTTCAACCCTGGGTAGGTGTTCGATTCATCTCGAGTTTCCGAACATAACGCTCGTCTGGAGGCGAATAGATGCCTCCAACTCGGAGGAGTAGTGAGTCACCGATGCTTCAATCCTCGGGTGACTCCGTCGCCAGCGTTGTTCATGATTTGTCCGGTGATTTAGTACTAGGCAGGCGGAACAGCGGGCCAAGTCATAGATGGCAAGCAGAAACTTAGTAGTGGGATTCCTTCCTGGCCACAAGGCGCTGTTCATTTTCCAATTTGCCGTCTCCGTCCCCATAATAGTATCCCTTTCTATGGCAAGACCCGTCGACGCCATCTGCAGTTTCAGGTACCCAACGAAGAAAGACTACCCAAGTGCTTCAGGATCGTCTTCGTTCGACAACCGGGACGTGCCGGAGTGCATGCCGTAGTCCATTCCGAGACAGTATGCTATAGATAGTTACCTCTCAATACTAGATAGTGACAAAGTAGTAGTAGTACTAAGTGAAAGGAGGTAAGAGTCTGCCAGGCGGAAATTACTTCTTCTGTTGCCTCCTTTGGACAGGCCGTGACTAAGTGGTACTAAACCGGTCATATCATTGTCGCCTTCTATTCGAGGCTGTTACAAGTCCCCCGCGAATGATTGGCTTCCACTGCAGAGACCAGCTGGGGTGGATTGCAGGCAAAAAAAGAATAAAAAAGGAAAAAAGAAAAAAAGATGCGGTGAACACTTGCCCGCCAATGGGCGTGACTGTTTTTGTGGTTCCTGACCAATCATGACCCCGCAGACTGCGACCGGCCGAGGCGGGCTCCACCCTGACTGGAAAATTTGGCCCGCCCCAGGCAATCCAAGGCCGTTCCGTCCTGTAACCTGCTCGTCACGGTACGACGGCGTACGGATAGATGATCTTCTCCCCTGCTGTCTTTTCCCTCCTCCTTCCTACCCTCTATCCCACCCCTCATCTTCCTTCTGCCACTCTCGTCGCAGAATCTTCTCACCACACCTTCTATCCAACCTTCAAAAGACCCTCTTCTTCTCCTTTTATACTATCCAGATATCGTCAAGGGTTCTGTGCCAGGATGGCTTTCGCTGAGCTGTAGATTCCTCGCTGGGGGGCACGGCTGCCTTTTCCATGCTCCCCAGTCCAGCAGCTCCGAGTAATCTCCAATTGACTTGACGATTATCTGTTCCTCTTTCGACGCAACAACAGGCAAGCGTCGGAATTGCCCCTCAGTACATTTACAGGAGAAGCACTTTTGACGTCCCCTTCTGGACGGTGAGGTGCTTTTGCGGTCTACGAAAAGTCTTTGCTATCGTCCCTTTTTTTCTGCCCTCCCCTCCCCTCTATCCGATCACCACCCCTACCGATATACCACCCCTCATCCCGATCTCTCTCACGCTGTCTATAACATCGATCACAATATCCTTTCCTTCCTCTACGCCATTACGAAATAACGTTCCGAACAACTCCTACCTTACGATATCGGTCCCTGAACCTGTCTTCTCAAGTCGCTGACGCAATCGATTCATTGCGGCGGGTTGTACGGGTAGCAAACTTTGTCGAACCAACAAGTGCTACCTAACCTTTGTCGGTCCCAATTCAACTGAGAGACCTCTCCCAAGGAAGCAATATAACAATACCTATTGTTGACGATATAATGGCGCCAACAACAAACTCCCCGAAGCGGTCACCCCAGGGTGTCGCAAAGGCTACCCATCACAACCCCGCGGGTCGTTCCCCGAGAACGTCCAATAAAGCTATCTCCCTTGGTTCTCTGAACGCTGATCGGAAGCGAAGAGCGGCCTCCGTATCGAGTGTGTCATCCGTCTCATCCATTGGCGAACTCAGCGACGATGCAAATGACTCCGAGGATGATGATGCAGATGACGAGGAAGAACAGCCAGCTGTTCGTGCCCCGTCTTATGGTCGCCGTGACAGGGCCCATAAGACGGGCGTGAAACAGAAGAAGACAAAGAAGATGAAATTCTCCGACGATGATGGCTACGATGGTCAACGGAGTAGCGATGATAACAATGATTCTGACGAAAGCTCTGATGATGTCTATGCCGCTGTGGACTACATCAGCGATGGCTCAGATGATGAGGAACAGGATGTAGAGAAACTGGAAGAGTTGTTGATTGTGGAGTCTGAAAATGAAAACCCCGTTGGCGGTATCCTAGCTCCCGGCGCTGATGTTTGGGCCGGTCCCAATGTTTTCGACGATCATATGATCCTGTCGGGTGCGTCCTTCTTTGATGAAGAACAGCTTTATACTGCCATGGAAGCCTTCGGGGAGACCGACATGGCTAGCGAGACTGCTATTGAGACCCCGGTGCCGCGCCGGGTGCACTTCCAGGAAGACTCGGACTCCTCGTCTGATAGTGATTCCCATACCGAGGATGAGATCCCCAGTGATTTCCTCCAGCAGGATAGTCTCGATCCCCAGTTGCGTCGCATGATCGACAATGATAATGAAAATTTATCCCGCCGCCGGCGTCAGTCTGAGGAGATGTATGCCGAGTCAGACTACGGGCATTCCAATATTTATCACGTGGAATCCGATGCCATCTCCGAGGGTTCGGAGTCAAGCGGCTATGAAAGTATGCATGAAGCTGGTCAACCCCGCACATTCCACTTGCTGACACGTTTGAAGCCGATGATGGCGAGACTACAGATGAAGATCTTCCCCCTCCTGCCACCATCACGCACCCTAGGTCCATCCTGCGTCGGGATTCTTCGGCCTCGCTGGCGCCCACAGGTGATGAGAAGAGCGAAACCACTTCTCGTCGGCGAGGACCGATTATGGGGACATTTGTCGCCGACCCTTATAAGCCTGTTGCACTTGTCGACTGCACTGGCAAGCACCTCGTGATTATCCCTGCCTATGCCTCCTCTCGCCATGATTGGCTTGAATCTGCCACGAATAGCGCCTGCAATACTGCTCATAACAGCCCAAGGGCTACTACCATGCATCTTATTGACGAAAGCGATACGGACGCCCTCGCATCGCCCAACCATGCAGATCTGAGCCCCATGCTTGCATCCAGTGCTAATCTTATGATGACTGCCCTCGGTAATGATATTGCTCCAGGCGGTCAGGTAATGGGCCCCCCTGAGGCGTTCTATCCATCCCGTGATTTTGCTATCGATAGCTCTTTCGAGGACGACGATGAAGATGATCCGGAGTCGGCTTTGAATGTCGAAGACTTCATTGACTTCGGTGATGGGTCATCTGATGACGAGATGGATAAGGCGTTCGACGAAGAAGCGCTGATGTCGCCAATGACTGCTCGGCCCCTACAACTCGGCACGGGCACACCGACCCCTAATCGCGGTGCCGACTCCCAGCAGGCCAGCAGTGCGGAACGATTCCTAAACCACTTGGACCGTGGCATCGTTACCGCGTTCCGCCGGAATCACAACCGCTACCAAGCACTGTTGCGTCTCCCACAGCATCGGGAGTTTATGCCGGCCAATTCGCCTTCTCGCCCTGCTAGCGTCTTCAGACATGCACGCCATGCAGACCAACGCACCCCCACGCGCAAGCGCAAAGCTAGTGGGTACAACGGCGGGGAAGCGGTCCGACGAAAGCTGATGGACGCCCACCGCCACACCCAGCTTCCTTTCTAAACTACGATTTGACACTGCGCGATACCCTGATATCTCTGATTTGAGGCGAACATAGCGTGCCTGGATTTCCACCAATTCCGAGGACATATTGAACATTTGTACATGGATTTAGAGTCTGTGTTTCTAGCATAGACGGTGATGTGTTTGTTACATCGGGAATGTGGGTTGGTTGATCCAGCCTCGTTCTCCACCATCGGCGGGTGTTCTGCATGGCTTCTCTCCCACAGAATTAGGTCTTCTTTCTCTTCTTACTCTTGTGGTCGGAAAGACGGGGGATATCTCATGGCCAAAAGTTCGAGTTTGATGACATTTGATTTCTGGAGTTGATGAAAGGATATACCTTGTGTTACGAAGACCTGTTGCTTTTCTTTGTTCTACCTTGATTTCCTCCGTTTGATGACATGTATGCAGTGCTACGGCGTCTTAAGCACACGGAAATGCAAATATGAAAATATTTTAAGCAACCGACTAGTAACGTAGTTTTCTCAAGATTTCCAGGTAGCATCGAGTAACTATAGCCTCTAGGCAGCCATCAGGCCGTTAAGCCATTGGCGATGGCATTGCCCTTCCCTCTTGCAAGTAATACTTGTCTCAGTGCTCAACCCAAAGGAAATGAAGCAATACCACCCTATGCAAGCCATAACAAGGGTCAGGAGTAAACGAAACCCCTCAAGGTCCCTAACGCAATGGTCAGACAGAGCCATTGTGCGACGCGCCAGGGGTAAAGTAGTAATTCTCTCGTCATCGCTTTGTACACGAGCGTTTAGCAGGTTGCACAATCACCTCCTGTGGAGACAAGCCAGTTGAAGTCCGATCCAATCAATCCTATGCGAGCGCATAAATCAGATCGTACAGCATATATGCATGCATGCTCTATCACAATACTCACATCACAAATCTAAACCCAAACGTAAACCTGCATGGTATTTTAGTGGAATGTGGAGGCGGTGGCCCAGGCTCTGAAGGGTTGGATTCCGAGGTGGTATTCTGGCGCTGGGGTTCCCTAGGTCACCTAGTTGGTCTACGTCGATTAGAGTCTACATGGCTGTCAATTCCTTGATTTCTTCCATCAGCTATCATGCTGTGGCGTGGCGGTGTTTGTAGTCGGGGGAACTTGGATTGAAGCCTCGGCGGTTACCTGGTGAATGGGAATGCGCGCTGCCCTCACTTCTCTCTAGTACGCTGTAGATCGGTTGAAGTTTGTTCTCTTTCTGATTCGGATTGGGGTGAACAGGGCTCTTCCAGTGTCGTAAGATTATTATTAGAATGGGAACCGAATGGATAATTTTGGCAGTTGGTAAAGGAGTGATGAATGTGAGAGGGGAAGATGTTGTTGGAGGCACTGACTGGTCAGGTTTCAGCGCGAGACGCCGGGTTAACATTACCCTCTCACTCTCTGCATACAAGCGAGCTTTAGGTGTTGGAGATCGGAGATGCCGCTTTGAGCGGATCGTGCAGGATTAACTTCTTCTGTGTGTCTGATGTGATATGAACGGATCAAATTGGACCCTGGCTGGACATTTGACGTGGAGAAGAGACATTGGCGCCGTTTAGGGTCTCATTTGGGAGGTGGGACAGTGTGTCTGTCAGTGACAAAGACACACATGATCGATCCCTTCTTCCTTGGCTGTTTTCCCCTCTCTACTTCCCTTCTACCCTTTTCGTCCTGGATGAATGAGTTTTGTCTACTGCTTGTTGGGCGTATCCATTCATGATCCTCATGTCTGAATATTGCTGGCGCATTCGTCGCCAGATGGATGCAGGAATAGTAAGTGATGAATGTCTTGTTGCCATGGATTTAGGTAGAGGCTTGTATGCCGTCAGACTGCCAGGCAACGAACAGCCACCAACGCCTCAGGGCCCCCTCTTTCACCCACAAAATAAAGGGTTCTTCATCATCGCCCCTTATGGGCCGATACATCTCTTGGGCTGAGCCAAATGCCAGCCTTTGTGACCCCTGATTGGCGATGAACTCGCGCTTCTGTCAGGGTCTTTCACCCTGTTCCTGCACTAGCGGCACACCCGGCGCCTCTGGATTGGATTGGTGGTTGTAACACCGACTGTGCAGCCATTGACATCTGGCTGGTTGGAGCGTGAATGCTCAATGGGCTGTCTTACTTGCACTTTCAGTCTATTCTGGTGAACGGCAATTGCCGTCATGGCTGTGTTAGGCACACAGCCTTTCGCCATCCCGGTGTTAGTACTTTTAAGGGTCCATCGCCCTCCCTGGTAACAGAATGCTTTGGCTGCTCTGATTTCCCCCTGAAGCTGTTTCTTGTTGTTGTTATTGTGTTATTGTTTGTTTGCCCAAGTGGCTTGACACTAGACACTCGTTCATCTACTATCACTCGTTGGCTTGTTCTTATTTCTTGTCGTCTTCTTTATAAGCCTCTTCGCATCTGCGTGACTTTGAAACCAATCGACAATCTGCATCTCATTCGACATTCTTTACACTTCTTCGACTACTACTAAGCCCTATTCAATATGAGGGCCGTAGTTCCTCTTTACCTAATCTCGGTCGCCCTTTGGCCGCTTGCAGCTCTCGCTCATCCAAAGGGCTTGGTGAGTGTGCTCTTCCTCTTGTACATGACTTCATGCAAGGCTAATAATATACATAGTGGTGGGGAACCGATGAATGCTATCCTAGTCCTGGAAAGGCCGACAATGATTGTTCCCAGGATCAGCAAACTGGATTTGACTGGTCTGGGCTGGCTGTCGGCTCCTTCTCAGCCTATGCTGGGTTTGAGTTCTCAGGCTTCTCCTTGAAAGAGAGCTTTGGCGCTTCCTCCAGTGTAAGCATTGCACCTCTCTTGAGTTGGTCCGTAACTAATGGCTATAGGGAAAATGCATCGTTGGAAAGCTCTCCAAGGAAAGATCTTCGGGTCTCAAGATGTCTTCCGGTAAAGGTCAGAAGGGATTCTCTGTCAGCAGGTTTCGTCTCGCCACATCCAAGGAAGCCGACGTCCACATTGTCTATAACATGCCTGATGGATCATCCTGCAATGATGTTGTCTCCTGCTCTCCGGGCGGGACAGATGTCACCAATGATCAGTGTGGCGGTTCTGTTTCGGTGAGCTTCAGGCTTGAGGAGGATATTGAAATCGAGACTTGTGATTTGGGTATTTACGAGGTCGAATTCGATTGCTCGCCGAGCCAGGACACCGATACCTCCAGTACCACTGTGCTGCCATCCTCAACCAAGTCAAGTAGCTCCTCGACTCCCCTGATTCTGATGCCACCCTCGTCGCCTGCAGCTGCTACAACTTCTGCCCCAACACCAGTCAGGATGACCACGTCCACTGTTTACTCGACGAAGGAGGTGACAATCACAAGCTGCGCACCTACTGTGACGAATTGTCCCGCAAACTCGGTCACTGTGGTCACATCTACAATTGCTGTCTCGACTACTGTATGCCCGGTTACTGAGACTTCTGGAGCTTCTCCGGCAGCGAGTACGTCGGTGAGTACGTCGGCAGGACACCATACCAGCAATCCGATGGTTACGACGTCGATCAGTGTTCCATCCGGCAGCTCTCCTGTCGAGTCCACCTCATCCCATTCGAGCCCGGTCCCTACTAGCCCTGCTGTGTCTACTGCTCCTGCTGCATCAGGGCATGGCTCTTCAGCTCCTGCTGTTGACAAGACCACCGTCGTCACATACGTGACCGTGACCACTTGCCCAGTGACATCCACTGGCTCTGCAGGCGGCTCACTCACCACGTCAGTTGGCACAACCATCTCTACTGTTACGCTGACCTCGACGTCGACCATCTGCACCAAGTGCATTGCTCCAACTTCTGTAGCCCCTATCTCGTCTGCCCCTGTTTCGGCTCCTGAGCGGACTACTACTGTGGTCACTTATGAGACCGTAACTACCTGCCCTGTGACCAACGTTGTTACCTCAAGAGGTGTTCCTATCACCTCGGTTACCAGCACAGTCTCAACCATGACCGTGACCTCAGTGGCCACTATCACACCTACCTCAGTCGTCTCCAGTTCTGCTCACGGTCCAACCGGCGTCGCTCCCATTTCCTCTGGACCTGTCTCCGTCCCTGAGAGCACGACAACTGTGGTTACTTATGAGACCCTTACTACATGTCCAGTGACCACTGTAGTGACCTCGAGCGGAAAGCCGGTGACTTCAGTCACTAGTACCATCTCAACAGTGACATTGACCTCGGTGTCCACATACTGCCCCAAGTGTACCGCCGGCCCGACATCTGTTGGCCCTGTCACTACTGCGCCTGAGAGCACAACAACTATTGTGGCCTGGGAGACCTTGACCACATGTCCTGTGACTTCAGTCGTGACCTCAAGTGGCAAGGCCATCACTTCAGTTACTAGCACTGTCTCCACCATCACCTTGACAGCAACGTCTACAATTGCAAACACAGTTGTATCCACGGGCAAGTCCCCAGCCACCAGCACAGGTGCTAGCGGTGTCTCGACGCCCGCCCCATCCGCACCGTGCCCCAACGTGGTGCCCAAGTGCATCAACACCTGGATGAACCTACTTCCCAAGTGCAGCTCCAACAGCGATATCAGCTGCTACTGCCCATCGGATGATTTCACTAAGAAGGTCATTTCCTGTATACAAGCCTGGGGAGCTTCCCAGGCCGAAGTCCAGGCTGCTCTGTCGTATTTCACCGGTATCTGCGCTGCCTATGTACCGCAAAACCCAGGCATCGTGACGGTCATCCCAACTTCGATCACCCTCGGCGCTGGCGCCACCGGTGCCGCTCCAGTCACTGGTACAGCAGTTCACTCAATCACCGGCGGTGTCGCACCGACCACCAAACCAGCCACTGCTGCACCTGTCGCGTCCACCGTCGTCACCTACTCTACCTGGACCGTGACCGTGCCTAAGGTCGTATTTACGACCGCCTCAGGAAGCGCCCAGACAACCGTGGGCCTTGTGCCAGGCGGTCCAACTGGCGTCTCGGCAAGTTCAAGCCGTATTCCCAACCCCTGGGCTTCCTCGACTCTCGCTACCTTCTCCGGCCGGCCAACAACGTCTCCTTCACCTAGCCACACACCCGTGCTGTCCAACAAAGCGTCTAAGGAGAAGAACTCTTCAGGATGGTGGTGGACTATTGCCGTCGCTGCTCTTTTGGGCATTTACTAATCGTAATCAGGGAATGATATGAGGGGAGTGAACAGATTGGAGTTGTAAATTGCGATGATATGTCATCGTCCCGGTGTATTTAAAGGATCTTTGCTTTGCTTGTAAACAACCAGGCTATTTGCTTCGTTATGTTATTTAATTGCTGTGCCTGATACTTGAACCCATGTAATATACGTAGTAGGGAGTTGCAGATAGTAGATGTACTACATCTGATAGCCACATAGCCAGCCGCACCAGCCACATTCCGAGTCCCGTGCCCGTCACGTATAATTCCATCTTCGCTTTTACATACTATTTCCCATCCCTCCACAGCGTCTTCGTAAATAACCCATTCTTGATTTATTATATTGCACAACTACCCAAGCATGTTTGCTCCACGAAAGCAATTCTCAAGAACCATGTCATCCCTCGCACCTGGAACTACTCTCCAAGGCACCTCTTGGAACTACCGAATACTCAACCCCGTAGTGGGAGATAGCACACATAGCTCAACTGTCTATACAGCTGAGGTTATTCCGCATGAGAACGCACGACACGCTCCCCAAGCTCCCAAAAGGTCCGCTGTGCTGCATTATTAATCATATCCTCGCCCGGCACTGATTATACCATACCCAGCGCTCTGATCAAAGCATCCCCACCCGGCGCCGTAACCGCACTAGAGAACATGAAGCGAGAGCGACAGGTCTATCGTCTTCCCGGTGTCACCTCTTCAGCGTGCTTCCGAAAGATGTACGATGAGATAGACAGTAGCACTATCGCCCTGGAATGGCTGGACACCACTCTTGCAGAGGTGAAATACCAGTCTAGCATGCGTATCTACTCACTCATCGTGACTGTCATGAGAGCAGCATTGACTAGTTGTGTCGTACTAGAAGGCTACGGATGTGTGAACATGGGTACAAAGTTCCTATCCTGAGAAGATTAACAATCATTAATCCCATAACCTGTCGCAGACTTAAGCCCGCAAACATCCTGCTCTCTGGCATTCAGACCGGCTATGTAACAGCTAAAGTGGAAGACTCAGGACTTGGTGAATACCCACAAGACCAACCAGCCCTAATCCCCTTATTGCAACTACTAATAGATAGGCCGTTAGTGGTGCCATCTGGCAGTCTTCTCAACGCACAACCATATGCGATGCGCGCTCCGGAAGTCTTCCTAGGGCACGCATGCGCTGAGCCATCCCAGGTCTGGGCAGTTGCCGCGGTGCTGCTTTGCTGGGGTAAATCCGGGAGTACTGGGCGTGTGGGATAGTCCGCATCCATTTATAAATGAGGCTTGGTGCATGGCGAAGATAAAGCGATTATTCCCTCATTGGAAGATGCTGCACTTTGACAATGTGGAGGGTCATTCGCTGAAAGCTGCGGTAGATGCTGCTAGTAGTTCGAGTAAGGAAGTGTCGGAGCTGCAATTAATCTCACCGTTGTGTGAGGAATTGCGAAAGGTGGATATGCCCCAGCAATTTAGGGATCTTCTGCGATTGATGCTGGTGGTTGATTCGGTTCAGAGACCGTCTGCCTCGTCTGTTTTAGTGTCGGCGGAGTTTAAGGCGTTGGAAGAGCTGGTGAGTATGTGAATTGGATGGGCTGGGGAGGACTTGGCATTAATTGATATTCTTAAGCTTTGTAGATGAGATTCCATTGTCGGTGTTATAGACCTTGCTTGATATATTGATATTCACTAGTATCTGCCTTTTGTAGTTGATTTTTTGTTCTTATAATATAGTCGACATCAAGTTCATGTCCATACTTCGTCAATACTTTCTACCACCACCACCACCACCATCAGCAGCAGCACCATTCCTGTGCTCCGTAACATTGTAAACCAAACATCCGTCACTAAGCGCTGGTTGTTCTCACACAACTATATCATGTTATGCAAGTACAACTATAGTAGCTGTGCAGGTAGGGTTGCGTTGTAGCGTAAATAATACTCACTGAATGCATACACTTGAGTACTCCATATCGAGCCACCCCACTAGTATATATGGCACTGAATATACTAGTCCATGATATTAAATGAAATATCTCAGTAGAGAGTATGGATGTTAAGTATCGTGAAGTAGACAAGTGTGTATTATGTTTAGTTTTGGTGTATAGCTAGGTCTGCACCTAACTATGAACTAAGTAATCGCTTACAAATAATTGCTGCCAGTGCTGACCAGTTAGATAGTTCACCAAGTAACCACCAAACACCTCTACAGTTATTCAAGGGTAAGCCCCGGCGGGGAAAAGTTAAGAGGGATAAACACGTCCAGCGAGCATGTACAGTTCACTTCATTCCTTCCCTACTGACTATCATACCTACTGACTACTTACTTACTGCCTACCTCATTCGTGTCATATCCAATGAAGCAAGCAGGGGAAATTCTATCACCAGTCAACGCCGTCCCAGGACAACAATCCAGTCCGAAGCAAAGCAATATAGACGCAGAGCAGAATCACAAGACTCAGAAGAGTATACTACTACTGGCTGACTCTAGTAAACAATCCGGGTCAGAGATTTCAAGGTGAAGAGAGATCACTGATGAGAAAAGGAAAGAGAAATAGAAAAAGAAAAAGAAATGACATGACATGACAGGAGATTCTTGCTCCGTCCAAACAAATGCCACCGTACAAGCAGGCAGCCAATGTCAATCAATCCCAACGCCCGTCAAAGTGGTATTTGTTAAGTACTCCCGCTACCCATCCAGTTTGCACCTACCCCGGTTAGCCAGTGTCATGGCTAGCCTTAAACGCCTGTGGTATTGTTGGTTCCGCAAATAGAGGCTACATGGCTAGCCCGTTTTGGTTTTCTTCGTTGAACGCTCGTTGCTTGTTACATCGCCGTTGTCCTTCCTTAACGGATACAGATGCATGCCCATTTCGGTGGGAAAGTCGGGGTGCAGCATATTGAACCGGTTAGGGTCCTGCGGCACCCCGTCCACGTCTGAGGGGATTGTCTCAACTAAGAGCTGAACGAGCGTGCGATCCACGAATCCCGCAGGCTTGTTATGCAACCGGTCGATGCGCGCCCAGTCGTCATCGACTTCCTCGTTCATCAGAGGAGGCAAGGGAGGCGCGCCACTGTTGCTTGAACGCGCGTGATAATTGGCCAAGATATTGTACGGGAGACTAGGACGTACAGCGGGCTTATCTGACAGCTCCGCCAGCGCGTTCAAAGCGTGATTTCCATGCCCCCGCGTGGACCGCGTGGCGTGGAAGTTCTGACTGGCTGTGCGAGCCATATCGGCCGCAGGAGTGCCATTGTCCTCGGCACCCGTCCCGTCCACCCCCGAACCATCGTCGGCATCGGTGTTGTTACCGTTTGTAGCCGCTCCAGACGGCTGGTCTGCACGCTTGGACGTCGAAAAGAAGTGGACTGTCGCAATGTGTGCAGCATTGGCATGAGCACCAAGCTCCCTCTCCGTAAAGAGAGAATTGATGGAGTAGGACGGCGCTTGCTGCTGCTGGGCCGCCTGGGCCTTGGCGCGCTCGGCGGGGTTGGTCTCGCGCACAGGCGAGCCCACATCCTCATCGGCCGCCTTTCTCTTGCGCTTATTGAAATGCTCCGACATGATCCCATTGCCGAGCTCGTCCAAATCGACGCGGTGGCGGGTGTGACGAGTCTTGCGGTTTCCGTGAATCCCACCCGGACTGGCAGGGTTGGTAATGCTGAACTGATTGGGGTGCAGAAGGAGGGCGTTGGTATCCGCCAGGTCCAACTGCTCTTTTTCTCGCATCAAGCGAGCCCTCTTGCCCGAAATCGTTTGAACAAGACGCTCCCGAAGGGTAAGCGACAAGTTATTGTATTCTTCCTCCGCAAAATGGACCCGAAACGCATACTCCTGCTTGAACCGTTCGAGATTATGATTGTGACGATGCTGGAGAAGAGAATAAACATTAGCCCGCGAACTCGACAGAAAAACAAAAGCTGTGCTAGGATGAACTCACCACCAACATAGCCAAATCCGCATCCTTCTCCGCCTTGACCTGATTGACCTCCTGCACGAACCGCGAATACCACATGCCAGCCAAGCTCGCCATCTCTTTGGCGAACTTGCCCCCACCGACGGTATTCTCGATGAGGCGGGCGATATCCTCCGCCGAATCGGGGAGAGGGCCGGGCTCGTAAGGATCAGCATTGTTAATGAGGGTCATGTCGCATTGAAGAGCATGCAATTGTTGGCGGAACTGGGTATCTCTGTTTTGGCTGAACGAGGCCGTGAGGTCATGGAGGCGCTCCTGGAGCGCGCTGCGTCGTTTGTCCCGTTTCGACAGCGGCACGCTGGTCGGAGGACTAGTGGAGCGCCCTCGAGATTGTAAGTTATTTGCCATCATGGGCGCCCCGTTCCCGTGAACCGGGGATGTTGGGCCAGGAGAGTAGGCCATGAGCAAGAATGGTGGAGGTGCTAAAGCGAGAAAGAGAGAGAGGAGTGGAGGGCAAACACTGCGAAGAGTTGAGAAGGGCGATGAGAAGAAGGCTCAGTGGGAGAAGCAAAGCTGGGCTTGGCAGGAAACTGCTGCCGGAACAAGGCAGGGCGAGACCGAAAGGCTCGAAAGGCAGTCTGCATAAGCACGGAGATGACAAGCGACCAGGCAAATTCGAGGCGAAGAAAGAGGAGGCAGAAGAACTGGACTGGAGAGTGACGGAGGAGAGCAGAAGGCGGGAGGCCGGCCGTTGGCCCGAAGCGGATTAGCCTCGGGGACATTTTTGACCGCCCGGCCTGTCGGTGTTTTCCCGGCCTGCTTTGAAGCCATACAGAGTTACTAACTACACAGACTTGAGTTTTTGTATGCTTGGATAACATATGAATTAACACAAGACGACAATTGCAGTGCGCACTCCATTATCTATGGGAGAGTCTTACATAGGAATTACCACTGTCGTATACGGTGTACAACTCACTACGCTGACATCATCTATCGCTGCCTTTAGGTTGCCTTCTGTAGGGCGGATCATGTATTTCCATATCTAGTTAAAAAGAGTAAAAAGTAGTAGTAATCACATGCTAGTGGTCGTCACGCTGCCATGAAATAGATATCCTGGGTATTTTCATCCGATAATAGCAAATGCACACAGTCAATGCTCCCTAGACATTCCCAAACGTGCAATCGAGAACCCAAAGCCCAACTCCGCAGACGCCGCCGGACCCGCCAGTTCCCCGTTTTTGAATCACACGGCTATATATCCTTCAAGAAATATTAAAAGCAAAGAAAAGAAAAGAGGAAAGATGAAGCATAATCAAGAAGATGGAGCATCCATATATGAAGGCGGAGAGAAATTCCCGCCCGCAACTGGCTCCACAGCTGCAGAACCCGTGCTTAGTGAGTCCGGCGGATCACGAAAACTCCCAACTCAACACCATCCCGAGGCTCCGAATCCTCGCCATATGGCCGTCTTCGGATACCATCCAGGATCTCCCCTAAGAGCATGGCCGAAGTCACCTCTTTATCTTCCAGAATGTAATTCGTCGACATATTCGACACTGCCTTGGTCGCAGGCAGCCGGCGGCCGTTCTGCCAGTATACGCTGAGAACCTCCTTCATACGAGACTTCTCCTGGTGAATGTACCACTCGGTCCACAGATCACGGTCCAGATGGGCACTGCCCTTACGGGCATCGACAATGCTGAATTGAGACGATGGGGAGCTCAGATCGCAGCAGAGCTGGGTGAGGTTTTGCCGCATCGTGTCAAAGTCTTCCATGTGCGAGACAGACGAGAGCTTTCCCAGATAGCGACCGATGTCGGTGGACAACTCATTCACAACCACAAGCTGACGGAGTAAGGGATCTAGGATGGGTCCGAGATATTGCGACTTAAAGGTGGATGCACCCCTTCTCGTGGGGTAGACGAACAGTAATGACCCGCCGTCAGGTGATAGCTCACTCAGTCTGTCGACCAAGAATGACGGACGATACCGGGAGAACATGTCTTTGTATTCCTGTGGGGACGACGGAGGGAGATACCGCTCCAAGACCGAAACGTGGACGGTGTGTGGCGGCACGATCGGCATCGGAGAGTACGTCGTCTTGGGCTGGATCGGACCCCGGAAATCGTGATAGGCGGAAACCACGGCTGCACTGGAGAAGACAGCCGGTGGGTTGAAATAATCATCGCCGGAGAAGAGCGAGCGAGGCGTCGGTGGAGGAGAGGAGGGTAAGTTGGAAAGGCTGAACTGTTCAGGAACAGCATGGGTGATGTTGATGTATGGAGACTGTCCATGACGAAGGCGATCTTGTATCGCGTGAACCAGGGCGCAGTATACGCTATCGTGTGCGGAGACCGGGGCGGACTTGTCAGCCGGTCGTGGGTAAGGAAGCATTTGCGAGACGATCTTCACGGCTTCCCCGCGACCGTTGGAAAAGGGAAGAGATGATACTATCACATGAAGGGTTAGCTTCCAAAAGCTCTTACAGAGATTTCCATACGGAAAGGACACGTGATCGGAGGGAACTCACTCGATGCTTCAATACTATTCTCCAGCCATGAATTGTGATCACAATCCATGTCACCAGAAGACCCGGGGCTACCACCAGAGCTTGACGGCGATCCATTTGAAAGTTGATCGGACGGGCTGCTGAGGCCGTCCGACG